ACTCTCCTCCCGTTGTTCACCGATTTGCTCGAGCGAGCACCAGTAATGTCTCCATTGTGAGACTTGTTGTTTCTGTTTTTGGCATATTGAATACGCCACGGGGAGCTTGCCAGGCTCTGCCATGCGGGCAGGATGCGGGCGGGATACTCTTGGTAGCTTGCAGGGCTCTGCGAGAGGGATGGAGAAATTCCTCCACATGCAAGGCAAACGCCTACCTGCTGTGCTTTTACTCCAGTCCATCATAACCATAACAACCAAAAAAACCTCTAAATGTTTTCAATAGAACAATTAGATTATCAGAATATCTAAAATTGTGCTTAACAAAATGTTAAGAATATTTCTAAATACCCCAAGCATCACAAGGGGTCACTCCCAAGCCAAGAAGTTCCTGACCATTACTGAATGGGGCTCCCATTGTTGAGTCAGATTAAAGAAGCATAATTATTTGTTTCATTGACAATCAATCTGAATATTTTTCTTTTCCTTTTTTTTTTTTTTTTGCTTTTTGGGTCACACCCAGCGATGTTCAGGGCTTATTCCTGGCTCTGCACTCAGGAATAACTCCTGGCAGTGCTTGGGGGACCATATGGGATGCTGGGGATCGAACCCAGGTTGACCGCGTGCAAGGCACACACCCTTACCCACTGTGCTATCGCTCTGGTCCCAATCTGAATATTTCATCATCAAAAAATAATTCAAAGAACTCTACAGCATTCAAATTTTCACTCTTGAGAGTCAAAAGTCCAGAATCCAAAGCTAACCAGTTTGGGAAGCTGGTTTAATGTTTCTGTTGGCCAGTTTTTTTGCTGGGACATATGACATCTTTAGCTTTTTTGAGCAGGCTGGGTTTCAGGCGCATTGTTTTCCCACATCTGAGTCACCAAAAATGCAAGACCTTGCAGCAGTTCACTCACTTAGGCTTTGTCCCTTTTTCTCCTTTCGCTGGTAGTGTCTCCTGCGGCATATTCCAAATATGAGACATGCATATGGGCCCAAGAGTCGCCCTGGTAATGGCATTCAGGTCATTCAAATGTGCCATTGTCCCTTCAGGAGACACAGTACAACCACAAGGGACCTGGGATGCATGAGCTCTGAGAAAGAAAAAGAACATTTAAGATGAAAATTTGTAATTTTACTAGTACACAATTAATCTACTAACACATTCTTTTAAGTCTTATTTCAGCTTTCCATGGGAAGGGAGACCTGTGCTAAAATTTATCCTTCTTCCCACCTCATCATGTGTTGTGATTTTACTGTTGAATCTGAGAGATTCAGGGCCTCTTCAGGACACCCCATTCCTCTAAGCTCTCTTAAACTTTACACATTTGTGCTCCTTTGTGGTTTTGTTTGTTTGCTTGTTTTGTGTTTGGGCAGGCTGTGCTTGGAGTTTACTTATGGTTCTGAGCTCAGGGATCACTCTTAGTGGGCTTCGGGGGACCTTCTGGGGTGGCAGGGATCAAACCTGGGTTGGCCCTGGGCAAGGCAAGTGCCCTCCCTGCTGTAATATTGCTCTATCCCCATTTGTTCTTCTCTTTGCTGGTGTGTAGAACGTGGCCTCTGCAGAGGAGGTCTGCATTCCTCTGCCTCCATGCACCAGTTAGCCAGTGTAGTTAGCAGTGGGTTTAGTTTTCCAGAGCCATCTAGTTTCCTACCCGTTGGCACTAAGCTTGAACAAGGAGAGGTTATATGTATAGGATTCCCTCACACTTCCCACAGAATTTCTCAACATGGAGACTTAGTTTCTTTAGTTTTTCACTCATGTGGCAGACATAGTGGACTGAAACAAAACAGAAACTCAAAAGTACTACCCTTGAATCCATTTTTATGGATTTTACAAAAAAGTTAAAGTTACTAAAATGGAAAGTGCTATTTCACAGCTGGGGGCAAGTTCGGTGGTAGAACAGATGCCTTGAATATGGGAGACCCTGGGATTTTTCCTGGCACTCTCCCCACAAAAAGTATTGTTATAGATTCCTCTTTTGGGGTGTTGGAGAGAGTCCGGTGGATAAGGCACTTGCCTTGCATGTGGCTGATCCAGGTTTGATCCCTCGCCTCCTACATGGTTCCTGAGATTCACCAGGAATGATCTCTGAGCACAGAACCGGGAGTAAGTCCTGTGCACCATCAGGAGTGGCCTCCCCACTCCCGTAAAAAAAATAAACACAAACAAAAGAGATACCTCTCTTTTAATTTTAGAAACTTGCATTTCATTTACTACTGTCCTTTAGAAAGAGTTATGAAGATGCATGTTATGTAAGAATGTGTGTAAACTCAAATACACTTATCTGAATTTAACTTGAAATACTGATGCTACTGAGATGTGGCAAGAGACAAGCAAATGTGAACAAAGGGGAAGAAAAAGAACAGGGCAACAAAAGCAACCAGTGTTGGCATGGATATGGGGAAAAAGGAAACACTCTTCCACTGTCGGTGGGAATGCCAACTGATCCAGCCTTTCTGGAAAACAATATGGACATTCTTTCAAAAACTAGAAATTGAGCTTCCATATGACACCACAATACCACTTCTGGGAATATAACCTGAGGGTGCAAAAAAGCACAGTAGAAATGACATCTGTACCTATATGTTCATTGCAGCATTGTTCACAATAGCCAGAATCTGGAAACAACCTGAGTGCCCGAGAACGGATGACTGGTTAAAGAAACTTTGGTATATCTACACAATGGAATACTACGCAGCTGTTAGAAAAAATGGTCATAAAATTTGCTTATAAGTGGATAGACAAGGAGAGTATCATGCTAAGTGAAATGAGTCAGAAAGAGAAGGACATAGAAGAACTGCACTCATTTGTGGAATATAAAATAACATGAGACTGACACCTGAGGACAGTAGACAAAAGGGCCAGGAATATTGCCCCATAGCTAGAAGCCTGTCTCATGAGCTGGGGCAGCTGGAATAGAGAAGGGATCACTAACACAATGATGATTGGAGGAATCGTTTAGGATAGGAGATGTGTGCCAAACATGGTGACCTCTCAGTATCTGTATTGCAAACCATAATGCCCCAAAGTACAGAGAGTACGGGGAAAATTGTCTGCCATGGTGGCAGGGGGAGGGCTTAATGGGTGGTTATATTGGGGACACTGGTGGTAGGGAATGTGTACTGGTGGAGAGATGGGTGTTTGATTGTAACTTAAACATGAAAACTTGTAACTGTATCTCACGGTGATTCAATAAAAAAGAAAAAAGAAAAGAAAAAGGAGAGGAAATAACAAAGTCTATATGTACAGACAGTATACACAAGGCCCAGTAACACTAGCAATTTTCAGGATTTTGTATTCCTTTAGCATTTTTTCAGGAAGTCTGATAAAATTTTTGCACCATGCACTGTAACCTTTGATTTTGTTCAAGAATTCATGGAATCATTTTCCGGTCTTTATCATTTTTATTGTAAATAAACAAATATGGAAACAATAATATTTTCTTAAATTTTAGAATATTGTGGTTTGAATTACTGTATTTTACAAAGTATTATTTTTTCTCATTACCTTTATAATGAAATGTTATCTGAGGACTTGCTACTTTAAACTTATCAGTTACTTTCCTTTTGATTCTTGTTCAGGATACTTTTTTAAAAAAAATTTGGGGGGCCATACCCAGCATTGCTCAGGGCTTACTCCTGGTTCTGCACTCAGGAATTACTCCTGGCAGTGCTGGGGGAACCATATGGAATGTGGGAGATGAACCCCAGGTTGACTGTATGTGGGGCAAGTGCCCTACAACTGTACTATCTCTGCAGCCCTTGTTCAGGAAACTCTGGATGGAGGTTGCAAAATCCCATCAGTCCTACATGTCATGGTGCTCTGAGAGTTCTTTTTAATCACAATGGCACCTCTCCTGTAGTCTCTCACTAAATCTTTTGACCACTGTCTTCTCTTGCCTTGACCACAAAGACATAAGTGAACTGGGGAAGAGTGAGCAGGCGGAGGAGACTGGATCAGGATGGGATTCTCAGTGGCAATTGCACCCACTAAAGGTTTTCTAATCACCTTATTTGCCTGACGCCTCTTAGGATCACAGAAGTGAGTGGTATTCTTCCTGTAATATCCTAGGGGTTATAGTCTGGGGACAACCTGTTTCTCTGTGTCCATTCCAATTTTCCTATCAGTAGACTTGTTCCACTTAAGGATCAAAAACACTTACCTACTGGGTATTTCTGAGGCCTCAGAGCCCTGATGCATTTCTTCAAAAGATCCTTGCTTTGCATTAAACAATTCATCTTTAGTGTTAGCTTCCTCAGCTAAAATAAAATAATAATTTAAATGTCATTTGTTACCTGAATTTAGAAATAAGATACTCCGAGTAGAAAATGGGATGTTCAAATTTCAAACAAAATCAAAGGTGTCCCCAAAATGCTGCATATTAATCACATGAAACGAACAGTATGGGAAGAAAATAAGGAAGATCAATTAACAAGGTTATGAAAGCATGTTTCAAAGTGGCAAATCACCATTGTCTTACAATTTTAGGATTTTAGCTTTACTCATGTACATGTATGTAGGTGTCACCAACTCATCAATAAAAAGAAAAAAATCTCATATCTGAGATATAACAAAACATAGTAAGGGATTGACTAATGGTCAAAGGCATTGGAAGTGGAAATTTTGAGATTACAGTCTAGGAGGCTCGGGAGGGCTGGCTGGAAAGGGCCCTTGGGCCAACGGTGGAGGCAAGCATCGGACTGACAGAGGCATGGAAAGTATAATTGTATCGTCTGTCACAGTATCTCTATAAAAGTGTTTTTAAAAACATAAAACAAAATGACAAATAGCACCACAAATACATTAATGCAAAATCACAATTGAAAGGTTCTGGGAATCTGGAGGAGTGGTGAGATTACTGGAATTAGCAGAGTGATAAGCAGGAGAAGATAATGACCAAAAACCACCACTGCAAGAGAAGTCTGGAGGCAGAGGCCAGAAGAGGAAAGAGGGGGTTGAGGGTATATGAGAAACATGCGCTCCAAGGGCCAAGCTAGGATTAAAGATGGGAAAATGTGAGCAAAGACAGGACCAGCTGAGTCTTCTTACATACAGGCAGAGGCATGGAACCTTCTCAGCTGAGCTCACACAGGTTCCTCTGGGCCAGACTTATTTGTGGCCACTCCTCTGGGACAATGCCCTGGGATGCTTCATTTTCAGTCTTCAGTGATGTCTAAAAAGGGCAAAATACAGCCGCTTAGATTTCACCCTGTGATGAATAGGGCTACAGTTGTGAAATAGGTTGAAAACCATACTGCAAAATAGTAGTGCCAACCCCTTGGCAGGACCACAACCTTTTTAAGGCCTGGGAAGAGGGGAATGAATAGTCGGTGCATCTCACCCCGCATCTCACCCTGCTCAAGAGCTGTCACCAACCCACAAGGTTGCTTGATTTGTAGAGGCAGTTCTCCAATGTCAGCCTCTACTGTCACAGGGCTTTCTCTCTGTGTGCCTGTCTTCACATAGTATTGTACTAAGTACACTAACTGCTGAAATTAGGCCCTACCTGAAACCATATTCTCATTTAATACTTTTATTTTTGGAAGCCTCCCAAGTGGTGCTCAGGAAACCTTGGGGCCACACTGGTGATTCTTGGCTATTGGCCAGAGGTTCAATGCCAGGGTCCCAGAATGCGCTGCTGCTTGGACTCTGCAGTGCTAAAGGACTCCACGTGACACCAGAAACCAAAACCAGGTTGGGTATATGCTAGGTAAAAACCCTAACTGCCTAACTGCTATATTATCTCCTGGCTTCCAATATAATTTTGCACTCCAAATTCACCTTCTTGTAAATCAAATTTAACCTATTGACAAAAATTTCCCACAAAATTTTTCTCATTTTTAAGCTTTGTAATACAAATAAATCTGATGTAATTGTTAAAATATTTTATTGCATATATAACAAACAAAATACTTATTTAACATAAGAAATATTTACTTACAGTCTCAATTATAAAGGTTCACTTGCCACTGCTCACAGTAATCTTATTTACATACATTCATAATTACGACAATCTGTAGGTGTATTCAGTCTCCTGCCCCCGCGCCTGGCTGCCCTCGCCAGAGCCCCTTGGAGGGGAGCGGGTTGAGCTTTCCTCCCCGCCCCGACCAGGGCCCCGGCAGCCAAAGACCTCCAGGACCAGCTACCACCATGCTGAGACCACTCTCCGCACACATGAAGGTACTGGCAGAGGGACAAAGTCACGCGGGTTCCAGGGCCGAGATCTCCAAGCCTACTTGGATTGGGGCCGGGCATCCTCCACCCAGATCCTCCAAACTCCAGTAGGCCCAGAGACTATAAAAACCAGCTCCCAAAACCGCACGGCCGCGAATGCAGCATCTTATTATGACATCTTATTATCTCATTCCTACTTTGGACAAACTGGCAGGCTACCGAATGTAGCCTGCCCACACGGCAGAGTCTGGCAAACTCCCCGTGGCGTACCCAATATGCCAAATACCAGTAACAATGATGGGTCTCATTCTCCTAAAGAGCCTTGAATATAATCTCAGGGCTAGGATGAAAGAGACGTTACTGGGGCCTGCTCGAGGCAATCAACGAATAACAGGATGATTTGTGATTGTGATTTGTAGGTATATTAGTTGCCACAGAATGATTAATAACATCTATTACATGTTTGTGGTTTGAAGGTCAACTAGAATATTTCTCATGCTGAGCTTAATTTCTGAAAAAATTTTCTTCAGTAGGGATCAACTCTGGAGAGTATGGAGGTAGAAATAATAAAGTATGTCTTGTCTCACCAACAAGATCACATACTTCCTGGTTTTTATGAAGGCTTACACTGTCCACAATCAATCACACTTATTCCAGACTAACAACACTCAATTTCCATAGTAATCTCGAAAGAAATTCACAAAAATATATTTGAAGTAACAGTAGAATGTGCAGTTCCTTCATGCCACATCATTCCTTAAATGTTTATTGTTAAAACTAGGGAAACAAGATTGTCCTCTAATTTTTGGCACAGTCACAAATTGGTGTATTAAGTTTGGATCACACCTTTAAATTATTGGCGATTAAACCTTTAGGACAGTAAGAGAAAAATTCATCTCTTATATCCTCAGAGTACATCTCAATTGTTCTCTCTGCATTTTGATGATGATTCTGTTAAGATGTACAGCTTACTGTAACCGTTTCAGTCCATTTCTAATAGAACTTGTGCTTAATTCTGTATGTTCTGATTCAATAATCTTGTCACGAATTCCCTTTAAAGTTATGCGTGGATTTTCTTCAATTATTTGGCCAATTCTGCTTAATATTGAAGCATTTAATTTGATATTCCTCTTGCCACCACGTTTTTTTTCTATTAAAACACCACCATTTTTGTTATATCGCTTAATGATGGATTTTGCAGTATTTTTATTAATACCAGAGATTTTGGCTGATTCGTTCACTGTTCTACCATCCTCATAACATTTGATTAAAATACTTTTTTTATCATGACTGATACGGTCATATTTAGGTGGATTATTACATCGAATAACTGAATTTCTTGATGATTTCGATGATGTGGCTCGCATTCGCTTACACAAACGTATTGGACGTGGATTCCCAGGGCTTGATTCAGTGTGTGATGCTGTCTCCATTTTCAGTATCTGAAAAAAATGCCCTGGATTAATTTAAAAATCTCTCAATGGAATCAAAATATGTAATATGCTGACATCACAAAGATAAAGATAAAATGAAAATATGCTGATATGTTACAGTATTTTTCTCTTTGTATGCAGAAAGTAAAATTAAATAAAATTGAAACAATTTTATTTCTTCCTAAACAGATACTCCCTAGACTGATCAGTTATATACACATCCATATGAACATTTAACTCATCTGGAATTTGTACAATTTATATGAAAGAAAATTTTTGTAATTATTTCAAGGTTTAAAGTCATGGTAGTCTTCCTGTTGGATAACATTGGTCAGTCTTTTCTCCTCCACCACTAGGAGTTTAGGTTTACTGAGTAACACCGATCGCAATGCTTCTGAAGCACTCTTATTTCCTCAGTATTCATCTTTAATTTCTCCTTTGTGCTCTGCGTCCCCTTTCTGTTATCACTCATTTCCCCTACTCAGAACCTGTGATGTGTAAAGTCAGATTCTTCAGAGATCTCTGAATTTTGTATCTGGAAGTGAAATACTGCTTTTCTCTTTCCTTTATGTCCTTTGCAGTTTACTTTAAAGCAATGTCCTTTTTGTATACACACAGGAAGGCAGTTAATGCTATGCTTTTGCAACTTGGGAGTTAATTTTCTCTGAATTATATTTACTCCTGGGCATCTGTCATACTTACTTGACTTAAGCCTCAGTTGCTCTTAGTTACTAGCATGCCAAATGCAGGATCTCAACGAAGGGACTTGGATGGACCCAGGGCAAGCTGGAAGCTACACTGGCATCAAAAAGGGACAGGTCAAGTGCCATAAAACTTAAGAGCTTGGTCATGAACAAATTCTGTCATAAACCAAAGAGAAGTGACTGCTGGCTAATCTGGTCTGAGGACTGGGATGTACAGCTAGATGTCCCCAGGGGAGCCACCCTATAAGCTTAATATATCTCTTACTGTGTCCATACAAAATGATTTGAAATATTATTAAGAAGTTTAAGATGACTGTTTAAATGGATATGAAGTAAGGAAAGGAGAAATATGCTCTAAGATGAAATTCTGCCCTTGAGTGGATCTCCTAGCAGGATGAGATCTCTGTCTTAGAATAAGCTTCCCAGGAAGGAAGGAGTTTACATAGGTTGATTGTGCTATCTCACCTATGTGTAATTGCTACCCCCAACCCTTGAGGATTGTTCTCTGTAACTAGGCTGTGAGACTGGGCCAGAGGGAGACAGGAATAGGAGACTGGAGGAGATTAGCACGAGGGACAGGCAGAGTCTGGAATGACAGGCACAGTGAGTTTGCAATGGGAATGGAGATGGGAATAAATGGAGACTGATCACCAAACAGTTCGGCAGCCCTAATCCCTCCTTCATGAGTCTGGAGGCTGCAGGCTGGGGTTGAGAAGCAGCTCATGGCCACAGAATGCACATGGCAAGAGCACCCATACACTTTTGAGAACACACATTTTTCAATTAACAAAAGGTAAAGGCCCTCCCGTTGATCGTCGATTTGCTCGAGCGGGCCCAGTAACGTCTCCATTGGAGACTTTATTGTTACTGTGTCTGGCATATCAAATACTCTCGGTAGCTTGCCGGGCTCTCCGAGAGGGGCAGAGGAATCGAACTCGGATCGGCCATGTTGGCCGCTTGTAAGGCGAACACCCTACCCGCTGTAAATCACAAATCATCCTGTTATTTGTCGATTGCCTCGAGCAGGCCCCAGCAATGTCTCCTTCATCCTAGCCCTGAGATTATATTCAAGGCTCTTTAGGAGAATGAGACCCATCATTGTTACTGGTATTTGGCATATTGGGTACGCCACGGGGAGTTTGCCAGACTCTGCCGTGTGGGCAGGCTACATTCGGTAGCCTGCCAGTTTGTCCAAAGTAGGAATGAGATAATAAGATGTCATAATAAGATGTCGGTTCTGGGAGCTGGTTTTTATAGTCTCTGAGTCTTGGCCGTTGATGGGATTACACAATAACAATTAACAATAATTAACAATAATCTGTTTATAATACACTGATTAAATTAATGTGTATACTTGCTAAATGATTGCCTATGGAATGCTAGTCAGTACAGATACCTGACCTCCTAAGTTAATAATGTCAAACTAAAAAATCGTATTATTACTTACTTCACAAAAAAATGACACTATTACTCATTTCATGCTACTGAGTCCAAGGTGAATGATTTACAAAAGGATGATTTTACTTTGCAAAAATAGTGAACTTGGAGTTAAAACCTGTACATCCTCTAACATGATTATATCAGACAGGCTATTTCCAAATCATCACATTCATAGGTACAATGCAGCTAATACGTCAACGTATCTTTTTCAATTAAGCCTAATTTCAATTAAGGCTATTTCTCTTATACTATCTGGTCTTTTATTATTTAATTCAATACTTTAGTCTTTAGTTTACTGTTCACCTAAGCACTGCCCTTTTTTTTCTTCAAACCTATTCTTCCACAAATCAAAATATTGAGTATACATATATACATGGGTGCAAGTATTTAGTTACACTGTTACCTTTCCTGGTATAATCATGTCCATAAATTTGCATTAGAAAAATACACTTTTATTTATAGAGGTAACACCCAGAGCCACTCCTGATGCTTGGCCTGGTGGTGCAGACATAAAGAATTGACGCTAGGAACCTATGGTAGTCAGGAGTCACCAGATCATTCTAAGGGCGCTGGGGGGGTCATGCATCCTAGGGACCAAACTCAAGGCTGCACACATGATGGTCACATGCTCTTTACCACTTGACCTATCTCCCCAGCCCATGTGCTACATTTTTTGAATTATTTTTTCTTTGTTTCTCCATTAGAGTACATTACACAATTATGCTGATTAAAAAGCACGTATAGGCAAGTTTTATTTTCAATACCTTTATTTCCAGAAAGGTAAAATACTTGTTGAGAGCAGAAGGCATTGGATCCGATAAGGTTAAGGACCATTTAGAGGGGCATGGTAGATTGGCTCAGTGGCTAGCTGATGGTAGAGTTCAAGCTCAGGGCTGTCACATGCACTGAGCACAATCACAGAAGCTCCTCCTTGTGAGCTTCGAATCACAAGGATTTCCAAAACAAGTGATTTGCAGCTATACTGCAGCCAGCTGTGTGTAAGGACCACAAGGGTGTGTGACCCTAGTGAGCACCCAAATTAAAAGATGTGTGAACCCCATAGCCAGGAATTACGACCGCTGCTGGGCATATATGGGAATAAGGCAACCAGAATTTCCATGAGGAAATGAGGACTGTGACCCATGGCAAGCAGCACAAGTATGCAAGCACAGTGAGCCGATAAGCAACACCAATGGGCACATCCAGATGCATAAGCATCAAGTTGGCATGTATGAGACCCCAGTTATGGCAGCAACATCAGCAGCATGGGGAAGGGAAATGAGATGGAGAGAATGGTAGGGAGGGGGGAAGGAACCAATAAGAAGCAACAGAACAGGACTGAGAAATCCCATGAAGACTGTCTTGAGACAGTTGATGTGGCTGCAGAGGGCTGAAATGGAAGTTACACCCAACCAAAGGCACTCGAAGGGCCAAGGCCTTTGACCCACTGATACGAGTCTGAAGGGTCAGCCCTTGAGCCCATCAGGATGGTGTTTGGGGGCCATTCAGGATATACCTGGGGTGAGTCAGGGAGGCCATGTAGCTCTCAGGATTGAATTTAAGGCTCTATACATTCTAGGTATAGGTTCTACCACTTGAGTTATCTCTCTGGTTCAAGACTTTCATATAAATTGTTTTTCTTTGGGGCCACATTATTGCTCAGGTACTTCCAGCTGGGTGCTTGGAAGTTCTCCTGGCAGTGTTTGATAAATCATGCAGTCCTCAAGATAGAGCTCAGGACTCCATATGCAAAGCTTGCACTTCAGTCTTTTGAGTCATCACCCAGCCTCTAAGTGATTTAAAAAAAAACAAAAACAAAAACAAAGCACTAGGTAAAGGACTAAATCTCTGGGAGAATAAAGGCCAGGGAGACCAGAAGGGTGGGGGTGGGATCAGGGCCCATTTTGTGAGAGATAAACTTTTATCTTATATATGTTGAATTTTTATCATCATTAGCAACAAATATTAATTGACTCTGTGTCAAAAAGAAACTATGAAAGAACAGATGGGAGTCCTGGTTCTCAGGCTGGGGAGGAAAACAATAGAGGATTCTCCTTGCCCCCAAAAAAGATCAGTCACCAAGCATCAAATAATCAAACCAGTGGAGGGAATTTATGGACTCAAAGGGCAAAAATCCAACCTCTCACTTCCACATGCGATCTAGATGTGCTCCTGAGCTCAGGAATGAAGTAGCAGCCTGCCATCAACATGAGCTCCTTAGATGGGGCAAGTGTGATCGTGATATTCTGAACCAGGAGGAGGCAGGGGAACACTCCTGCTACTGAAACACTACCAAGTTTCTTACTCTGCTGCTTCTTATTGTGCTACCAAGACACTTCCAAGGATGAGGAGTGAGTCCAGGAGTAGGTGGTGAGGGAGAAGGAGCCTGGGCAAGCTGCTCACCTGGCACCTGGCGGAGTTCAACTCTGCCCCTGCAGTCCTGTCTCTAAGGTTTTCTTCCTGGAGAGGGGATGGTCCCTGGGTGGCAGGCCCTGAGGAGAGAAGAGTCCTGATTAAGATACCACAGCCTTTAGGAGTGCCCTCTGTGGGGGAACCCAGGCCCGAAATCTTACATTCATTAAACATCTAAGAGCTATGACACATTTTACTCTCTAAGACAAAACATCACACTCTAAGTGCTGGACAATTCTCAACGTTTGGGTTGAGCAGTTTTATGAACCCAAAACGTGCTTATAGAGTGAGCTGATCAAACTGACATAAAGAAAACATTTTAAATCACTGATGGAGACAAAGAGAAAGAAAGAAGCAGCTGGTAATAAATCACAGATCAGAGAAGTAGAGGACTGAGACAAAGCAAAGAAGACACGGGAGGTGAAAAGAGAAAAATACAAAAGAATGAGAATTGGGCCAGAGATATACTACAGCAGGCAGGATGCTTGTTTTGCATATGGCCAACTTGAGTTCGTCTCCCATCAACACATATAGTCTCGAAAGCACCACCAGGAGTTATCCCTAAATACAGAGGAATAAGCCCTGAACACTATGGGGTATGGCAGTGAAAAAAAAATTGGTAATAGGGAGCCTTTGTGGGTATACAGGAAATCTCTGTGTCTTTCAAATATTCTGTAAAACTATTGAAAAAAAAATACTCAGTAGGGACATACTTAGTAGGACTAGAGAGACAGTGCAGTGAGTAGGATACTTGCCTTGCATGCAGCTGACCCAGTTGGATCCCTGCCATAATATAGGGTGGCCCGAGCACCACCAGGGGTAATTCCTGAGTGCAGAACCAGGAGTAATCCCTGAGCATTGCAGAGGGATGGCCCAAAAACTTAAAAACAAACAAACAAACAAAAACAACAACCACACACAGCAAGATATTGGTTGGAGAATGGGCTGGCCATTGTTGGAAGCTGGTGGTCCTACAGGAACTGACAATAATCACCCATTCCCCCAAAAGCTACTGTGTAGGAAAAGATAGACTTGAGTATACAGTAACCAAGTAAATATCTGAAACATGCACAAGTATAAAATTAGAAAAGCAGAACAGAGATATAGGGTAAGGAGAGAAGTGGGAGAGATAGCAGATGACTACAGCTGAAAGCTTCTCTTCCTGGACAAGCCCATTTATTTATTTAGCTTTTTGAGTCACACCCGGTGATGCACAGGGGTTACACCTGGCTCTGCACTCAGGATTACCCTTGGTGGTGCTCAGGGGACCATATGGGATGCTGGGAATCGAACCCGGGTTGGCTGCGTGCAAGGCAAACACCCTAGCTGCTGTGCTATCACTCCAGCCCCTGGACAAGGCCATTTAAAGTTGAGTTTTTTTCCTTTCTAACTCTTAATTGCTGGATAAAAGGATCTCAGAATTCTGAGACTGACAATTTTCAGTCTTTTAAGAATACTAAGATATGGGGTTAGAAAAAAACAAAACAAACTTGAGGTGCTTTTACTGAGAGATCGGGGACTTGTCTGGGATCTGCACTTACTGCCCTCACTAAACTCACCCTCTGGCACTCACCACTCACTACGGGGGTCTTTTCCTTAGGAAGCTCTGGAGGTTCACACTTCAGGGTGGTCACCCTAGGCAGGAGTTGGAGGTTCTGATTTACCAAAGAGGTTCCTTGATATTCGGTCACCACTAGGTGCAGCACCTGTTCCTGGTTATAGTCAGAGACCTGAAGACAAAAGATCCATTTTGAAAAGGCATCCTGGTAGGGATTGGAGCACATAGCCGAGAGACATTCTCCAGGGAATGCCAGACTAGCAGCATTAAGACAGAGTAGCAGATTCCTATTCACTGTGCAAACACAGACAGCATGCATAAGGGGCAGGCTCTGGGCTATGTGCCGGGGAGAGATGGCAAAAAGGGAGAAGAGACAAACACAGAATCGCTGCTTTGAGAATCAAACACACACACACACCTGCTGTTTCATGTCTCCCGTGTCTGGCATCTTGAGACTCTCCAGCACAGTCACCACCTCGTCCCCACTCTGCAGCGGGTAAGTGGGCACCCGGGCCTGCAGCTCCCCGGGCAGGATGCTGAGGAACTGCTCCAGCACCAGCAGCTCCAGGATCTGTTCCTTGGTGTGGGTGTCTGGCCGCAGCCAGCGATGGCAAAGTTGTCGGAGTTGGGCCAGGGCCTCACGGGGCCCTTCTACCTCCTGATAGCAGAACTGTCGGAAGCACAGGCGGCAAAGCTCTGGGGTATGGGTGCCGGTCTCCTGGGAGCTGCATGTCTGCTCCCATTTGACATCTTCCTCCTTCACTCTCCCAAAGCCAACTTCCTTTTCCGGATGGGGGCGCAGCTGAGCTTCATCCATGTTGTGCTTAAAGCCTAGGAAGAAGTTCACATGTGCTTTGAGGACTGGAATGTTTTCGGAAATGTCTTTACAAATATACACTGGAGGCAGAGCTGATCAGTAAAGAAGTAAAGGAATATATACATGATAACACACAGGGGGTAGGGCGTCTGCCTTACAAGCGGCCAACATGGCCGACCCGAGTTCGATTCCTCCGCCCCTCTCGGAGAGCCCGGCAAGCTACCGAGAGTATTCGATATGCCAGACACAGTAACAACAAAGTCTCCAGTGGAGACGTCACTGGGCCCGCTCGAGCAAATCGACGATCAACGGGAGGGCCTTTACCTTTACCTTAACATGATAAACTTTCAGAACTGTATTGCAAAGCATAATGCTCAAAAGGAAAGAAAAGAGAGTGAGGGTGAGAGCATGAGCGAGAGGAAGGGATGGGGGGAAGAGAGAGAGAGAGAGAGAGAGAGAAAGAAAGAGAGAGAGAGAAGAGACAGAGAGGTAGTGTCTGTCATAGAGGCAGTCTGTGGGGGTTGTGTTGTGTTGTGGTGGAAGTAAAACTGGGGACTCTGGTGGTAGGAAATGTACACTGATGAAGAAATAGGTATTGGGACATTGTATAACTGAAACCCAATCATGAGCAACTTTGTAAAATAAAAAAAAAAGAACTTCTCAGTAATCTGAAAACAATGAAAGTCTCAGAAGTCTATGTTAACATACTGACATGTTTTGTCCCCACAATAGTCAAAAACTGAGGCAACTGCTCATATAGCCAGAACAATTGATCAGAAGATTGTACTGAACCCAAAGTGGGTGTAGCATGGGAGGAAGGGATGTAAGGAATATGAAGGAAGGATTAACAATAAGAATGCTAGAGCAGTTATACTAAGCTCGGGAGAAGGGATAATGGTACCAAGAGTGAAGCCAGAAAGCTACCTTCATAGACAGATAATAGCACTGTCCTGTAGCACTATCCTCCCATTGTTCATCAATTTGCTCGAGCAGGCACCAGTAACATCTCACAACAAATTGCGAGACTTGTTGTTACTGTTTCTGGCATATCAAATACATCACAGGGAGCTTGCCAGGCTTTGCAGGGTGGGTGAGATACTCTCGGTAGCTTGCCAGGCTCTCCAAGAGGGGCGCAGGAATCAAACCCAGGTCGGGTGCAAGACAAACACTACCCGTTGTGCTATCGCCCCAGCCCATAGACAGATGATACACTCTCAAAAGGAATTTCTCTGTTTCCTCTCATTGAAGATTCCCCTTCAACACAGGTGAGGTTGACTGCAGTTTCCAGTCTCCTATTCCCAACTCCCTTTTCTGATGAGATTCTGCCCTTCTCCTCATCAAGAGATGGGGTCTATCAGGCCTTCCCTGGAATCTGCGCTGGCCTATGACTTGCTTTAACCAACAGAGAAAGGAGAAACGATACAGCAAGCAAGCCTGTGGCCCTTGGCAGGCTGCCAGGAAACTGCCACTGCTGTGAGGAAGCCCAAACTCCTCAACCAACAAGGGATGAGGATGAGAACCAGGGGCCCGAGCTAAGGACCAATTCGGATTCACCTGCTGATGTGGGGACGTGGGTCACTGCGGAGAATACCAAACCACAGGCTCAACCCTCAGAATCGTTGACAAATTAAAAGCTCCACTGGCAGGGATGGAGAGATAGCATAGCGGGTAGGGCTTTTGCCTCGCATGTGGCCAACCCAGGTTCGATTCCCAGCATCCCATATGGTCCCCTGAGCACCACCAGGAGTAACTCCTGAGTGCAGAGCCAGGAGTAAGCCCTGTGCATCGCCAGGTGTGACTCAAAAACCCAAAAATAAATAAATAAATAAAAGCTCCACTGGCTTTTAAGCCACTGTTTATAGAGTTTGCGTGTCTTTATTTTATTTAATTTTTTCATTAATGGAACAATAGATAATGGGGACGGGAGAGACGCGGTTCACATCTTCTGGGTTCCCTCGCGCCAAGCATCCCAGTTCCCGCGATCTCTGGCTCGGACGGGCGTTTCGCGTCCCCGACTCTCGTCCACGGGCGCCCCTGCACGGCATTCCCAACACCCCCACCCCCACCCCCACTCTCGAACCCGCGCCCCGCCAAGCGGCAACTCAGCCCGGACCGCTCCGTTTCCAGGCGCCGTTTCCCCGGGCTCCGGGTCCGCACGAAGCTCCGATTCCCCGGGGCTCTCCTCGTCCCCGATGCGTCCACTCGAGTCACCGTCGGTTCGGGCGCGTCGTTCTCTTCCGGCCCGGGCGCGCGAACCTCGGGCCACACCGAAGACACGAAGCGGCCGGTCTCGGGGGTTCGATGCCCCGATGCGTCGCGTCTCCTCTGAGCGGACTTCGGGGGTTCGTCTTCTCGTGCGGGGGGGACCCTCCTTGGCGAGCTGACAAACTGTTTCCCCCCAACGGGGTCAATCCCCGAGGCCCACCTTGGCTCGGTCACCTCGAACACCCACACCTGAGAGAAAACGGTCCCCGAGGGTCGCCGCGGGAGGTGGGCGCCCCGCTTCCCCGTCACCCGCCCCCCCTTACCTGAAGCCAACAAGCGCGGCCGGCGTCCCACAAAGCCGGGCCACAGTCCGGCAAAGACGCCTCGGACGGCGCCGCTCCGGCCGCGACAGGTGAGCGCCGCTGCCCCTTTAGAGGCCCGCGAGTCTCGCGAGCTCTGCGCGCCGCCGCGGGGCTGGGCTCGAGGCTTCTCTTCCTGCCGCCCGGGCAGCCGAGTGCGGCCCCCTCGGCGTCTCTCTAGGAACGCGGCCCCTAGTCTCTGTGGTGCGCTGGCCAGCTTTCCATCCTCCCAAATCCCCCACCCACTGTCATCGCCCGCCTCAACCATGCCTGTGACCGACCCCTACGCCCACGACACGAGTATCTCTTTCGATACCCACAGGTGGCGGATGAAGAATGACAATAGATGAATATTCCCAGACAAGTGTAGATGAAAATCAACATGTTAATTGCATTTAGTGTGATGATATATGCACTCAAGTTGCGTAGAGACTGTAAAAAGAAGTGCTCCTGGGGCTGGAGCAATAGCACAGCGGGTTGGGCGTTTGCCTTGCACGCAGCCGACCTAGGTTCGATTCCCAGCATCCCATATGGTCCCCCGAGCACCGCCAGGAGTAATTCCTGAGTTCATGAACCAGGAGTAATTCCTGTGCATCGCTGGGTATGACCCAAAAAGAAAAAAAAAGTGCTCCTGCTCTCAAAGATAACCATTTGATAATAATCACGTGTTACAACCTGCCATATAGTAGCCCTCAATAAGCATTTTGTTTCATTGAATGACTATGTATTCAATCTTAGTGGCAGACAAGATGACAAATCCAAGCTCTCAGATTTTCCAGTGAGGAAAGCTTGAAAATCTGTTCATTTCTCGTTTTTTTCTTTCGGGGTCCACTTGGCAGTACTCAGAGCTTGCTTCTGTGTTCAGAGGTCACTAGTAGCAGTGCTCTAGGGACCTTATGTGGTGTTGGGCATAGAACCCAGGTTGACCTGTGCAAGTTTGTACTTTCTCTCCAACCCCTAGCTGATTCTTCAACAGCTAACAGGATTCCACTGTACCGATGTACTATTTATTGATGTCTACTTCGGTTATTTTTTCTTTTTTGGATATTGACCCATGCCTGGCTGTACTCAGGGCTTACTCCCAACAGTGCTTGGGGTCTATATGCAGTACCAGGGACCAAAATTTGGTGCCTAGGATCAAAACGGGGTTGATCACAGGCAAGGTAAGTACCTGTTGTAGTATCTCTCTGGCCCCAGACACTACAACTCTTAACAGTCATTACTTTTTATTAATTATAAAGGTAACATTCTATGCTCCTTCTTCATATAACACTCATATTTAATCTATAAACATAGAGCTGGATGTTTAAGTGCTTGGGGTTCAGCCTTCAAACCTGGGGAAATCCTTGTGATAAATTTAATTGTACTAAAAAAATACAATAAAAGATACAAAGCTTTTTGGCTTCCTCAGTGATAGAATGTGGCTGAGTTTCATGAGCTTCTTTAAGATCTCAAAAAATTGCAGCTTTCAATAAAAAAAGAAGGGGTTGGAGAGATAGCACAGAGGGTAGGGCATTTGCCTTGCACGCGGCCGACCCGGGTTCAATTCCCAGCATCCCATATGATCCCCTGAGCACTGCCAGGAGTAACTCCTGAGTGCAGAGCCAGGAATAACCCCTGTGCATCGCTGGGTGTGACCCAAAAAGCAAAAAAAAAAATGCAGCTTTCTCATATTTAGTTTTCCTCCAGAAAGAGTTATTAACTTGCATCTGGCCTAGTCAGAGTAGGAAGAAATAAGAAGTGGGTCAAAGACTGCTAAGTGCCCATCTGAGCCTTCATGCTCTTTATTCTTGTGACAGAAACAAGATTTTCAGCTGGGCACACTACAATCCAAAGAGATACTTTTTTAAAAAAAATTTTATTAGCGAAACACCATGAGGTACAGTTGTAGACTTACAAATTTTTGTGCTTGGGTTTCAATTATACAATGATCGAGTACCCATCCCTCCATCAGTGCCCATTTTCCACCACCACTGATCCCAGTATCCCTCCCACCCCCCATGCCCCCCATCCCACCCTACCTCTGTGGCAGGGCATTCCCTTTTGTTCTTTCTCTCCTTTTGGGTGCTGTGGTTTGCAAAAGAGGCATTGAGTGGCAATCATGTTCAGTCTATAGTCTACTTTCAGCATGCATCTCCGATCCTGGGAGGATCCTCCCAACACCCTTTATTTGGTGCTCCCTTCTCTATCTGAGCTGCCACCAAAGAGATACTTTCTCACCTTCTTTGTCAAGGTTTGGGTCTGTGATGTATGTATAGGAGAAACTGAGAAACTTAGAGGCAGGCTGCTCAAAGGGAACTGACTGAACTTTTGCTCTTCTGCCTACTCTTTTGTATGTGATGGCTGAAGTTTTTTTTTTTTTTTTGCATGTGATGCGGCCTTGACATCTTATCAGGACATCTTTTATGACATCTTATCATCTCATTCCTACTTTGGACAAACTTGCAGGCTATCGAATTTAGCCTTCCCACAGGGCAGAGTCTGGCAAACTCCCCGTGGCGTACCAAATATGCCAAATACCAGTAACAATGATGGGTCTCATTCTCCTAAAGAGCCTTGAATATAGTCTCAGGGTTAGGATGAAAGAGACGTTACTGGGGCCTGCTTGAGGCAATCGACGAATAACAGGATGATGAAATGAAATGAAATGGCTGAAGTTTTAGCAGCCATGGAGAACCACGTGGCCTCAAGAACTGGTGGCATACAATACGGTGGTGGGGAGCTGAAAGGAACAAGCCAGGGTCACTTTTGATGTCTTGGAACCATCTTACTAGGCTACTACTCATTTCTGGCCTTTCCTGTTTTCTATAACTTTGTTTTAAAATTATATGCAGTTGAGCCAAATCCTTCAGAAAAATATGAGTTTTGGGGGGAGAGGGGTCACATCTAGCAATGTTCATGGGTTACTCCTAGCTCTGCACCCCAAAACAAGAGTCTTTACCAGCTTTTATATTCTCATGGTAGACTGAGAAGCCTGGTCCAGGTAGAAGCAATTACCACCTGTAAGCAAATGGCACTGTTTGGGAATGGACACTCTAGCCCAATGCTCTTCATCATTAGCATATTTGGCATATCATGATATAAAGATTCACAATCTCCGCAAAGCTGGCTTTAATGACTTCCAAGCAAATCCCAAACAAGCAACAATTTAAAGCTGCACTTTCAGTACTGAAGCACAAGCCTGAATATCTTTCCTTGGGTGTTCACCAAAGAGGGTCAGACAGGAGCCACATACTCTCCCAGGAGTCACCAAGAGTGTTGCTCTGTAAGTTTAACAACATTCAAATGGCATAAGTCTCTTTCATAGCCCAAATAAAACTTTAATTTACATCTTAGTCAAAGAGGTCAATTGTCGAGACTGGGATGGGAAATGTCAAAATATATTTTGTTTTCCAAAATGCTTTTGTTGACTGAAGGTGGGAGTGGGCGGGGGTAATACAAGTTGGGGAGTGGTTAGGTAATACAGCGGGGAGAAATGCTCATCACTGACCAGCAATTTTATTTATTTATTTATTTATTGCTTTTTTGGGTCACACCCGGCAATGCACAGGAGTTAATTACTCCTGGCGGTGCTTGGGGGACTATATGGGATGCTGGGAATCCAACCTAGATTGGCTGCGTGCAAGGCAAATGCCCTACCCGCTGTGCTATTGCTCCAGCCCCTGACCTGCAATTTTAGACCTTTTAAGTGTATTTCCACACCTCACTAGTTTGATTGTATAGAAAAGACTGTTGTGGGAGCCAAAGCAATAGTACTGTGGGCAGAGCACTTGCCTTGCGCTGAGTCAACTGGAATTCTATTTCCAGCACCCTGTATGGCACCCCAAGCCTGCCAGGAGTAATTCCTTAGCGCAGAGCCATGAGTAAGCCCTGTGAATGGGTGTGGCCCCAAAACAAAATATAACAACAAAAATGTCTGTTGTATAGCATAGACAAAAATATTAACCTATTCATACTTGACTTTGGCTTGTAAATTTGTGCAAACCCCTCACTCCAATCTGTTAGTGTCCCTTCTTGGACCCCTCCTCAAGCCAGTTTGTCTCTGTAGTGTTACCCCTTGATGTTGAAAAAGACCCAAATCCTGCCTGATGGTCTCCCCACATTCAATACACTCATAGAGTTTTTCCTCATCCTGGATCTTTCCATGCTGAGTGAGGTCTGGGATCTGTCGGAAGGCCTTCTGGCTTACTCCTGGCTCTGTGTTCAGTGGTGACCCCTGGACATACTCAAAGGACCATACGTAGTGCTATGGATTGGACTAGGCCTGGTCACGCATGTAAGACACATGCCATTTAACACCTATACTTTCTTTCTCTGTAAGCAACATTAATAACAAATAATAGTTACTAGCTGTGGGAGAGATAAAAGTTATAAAGAAGAGACTCTGGAGTGATAGTACAGCGGGTAGGGCGCTTGCTTTGCACCTGGCCGACCCGGATTCAATCCCCTGCACTCCAGATGGTCCCCCAAGCATGGCGGGGCGCAGGCGCCGCCAGCATTGCTCACGGAGCCACCCCAGCGCCTCTCGAGGTCCTGCAGTCTCTTCATAGCACAAGTGCCAGAACTGTTTGCACCGTAGTTCCTGGCAGGGGTCCTCACTGATTTCAGGCAGCCTGAAGCCCAATTGCATTTTAAGTTGGAGTCTGTCCTAAGGCAATGGGGACGCACCTATCCACAACTCTTCCTCTGTGCTGCCAGAAGAGGTTAAAGTTACATTTTAACTCTGAAAAACAAAACTTTTCCCCCCACCCTCTGTGCAGTAGTATCTTGTTATAATTAATAAACATGCATTTGAATAGAAAAGTTTATTGTAATAGAAAATTAAGTCTGAGGGTGTGGGAGAGAATCATCAAGCCAGACTTGCAATATAGCTTTAGGAAGTAAAGAAGCACTGGCTATCACCTTTGTAAAATCATTTCTATGGAAGAAAACAGTAATATTTCCTCTTTTAGTCATCCCAGTAAAAACTATTTTTACAGATTTTGAATAAAATGAACCTTTATCGATCTGAATCAGTTTGTTTTGAGTCATTAAATAATCACCAATCATTCTTTTGCAAGAAAATGTATTTTATTGTGTTTCAAGCACTGAGATTATCATTGTAGAAAAGGAAAAACCAAGAAAAACAAGTTTCATTATCACAAGGAGAA